AAAAATTTAAAATTCTCAGGTGTTTTCAAATACATCTTGAAAAACAGTTCTTTTTTTGCATTTTCTATACACCATATAATTTTTAAAACAATTTTACTCTTTTTGAGCTAACCATAGGGATAAAACATTTTGGTGGAACTACATTGAAATTATTAGTTTTCTTTACTTACGTTAGTTTTAACAAATCCCATACCTAATTGATATTAATGATGACAATATACGGTTATCAACTACATTTTTGTTTATTTAGAAACAAAAAGTTATTTTGGAACTCTTTACTATTGATCTGATTGTTATGACAATTGGATCTGTATTTTGGGACATTATGAGTAAGTGGCAAGTTGATACAAAATAAAGTTCTATTGAAGTGTGCAAACATGTGAAAATTGTGAACACCTAAAATTTCATATAGGTACAAACTAATAAATTGTACACCTTAATTATTGGCATAGGTTAATATTGTCTATTTCATTTATAATATTACATTTATTTATAACTCATATCTTTCAGGTCCATTGTCCATGTGTTGTTGTTTAGTAGATGTGACTTACCAGTAGCGTACGCAGGATTTTGGTTCGGTTAGGGTTTTACCCAAGTAAATAATTTACTATATTTTTTGCTAAACAGATTTAAATATAATTGGTTATAACAAATTATAGTTAGTCTTCATTTAGAATTTTGAAGCCACTGCTACAAACACAGAAAGATAAAAGTTGTCCCTCCCAAAACAGTTTTTGCTATGTTGTGCATTTGTAAGACGAGAGTCAACAAATGCGGGTGTGACGTCCTCTTAATAGTAAAATTAAATCTTAACTAAAAAATACTCTCCTCAAAAATTTAAATATTTACTTTCCAAATATTTACTAAAAACATTGTATCACATATCATATTTTATTATTATAATGTTTTTCGAGTTTACACACATATTTTGCCTGTGTCAATTATGACAATTGGATCAAAAGCCACCACTAGCTGTTATCACACAAATCATTTGTGATGTTGTAACTATTTTACAGGATTTTTTGACAAACGCTTTACCTGTCAGAATGACAGAATGGTTGGCATAAGCTGTGAATAGATGTATATTGAAGATGTTGCTGATAGGCTGTTAAAAAAATCGGGGTGTCCTACATACATATATACATACATACATACATACATACATACATACAAACGCAGTATGTACATTTCTTGACCATACTAATATTAATTTTATTATCAAATTTATTTAAATATGTAAATTATAGGTTTACTGGCCGTCAAACCCGTTTCCATCCATCGAACATACTTCTCAACAAGGAAAGACAAACTTCTTTGAAAGAAGATTAAGCGAACACCAATTATCTTCAGTTGCACTCTGAATCATGTTTGTGAATAAAATTATTTGTCAAAGACTTATTTATAATTATAAGAAAACTTTATTTTTAAATTTTATAATTCAAGAGAAAAGTATTTAAAATCTTTGTTAATTATACTATCATAGTTTTCATATTTGTCGTATTTATAGTTAAATTGTAATTTAAAATTTAGAAATATATGACTAATGTGTTGTAATTTATTGTTATACTTGCAGCAGTTTTTTGTACATACTAAATAAGAAATTCTTACTAAGTAAGAAGAAATATAAGATGTAACTATAAGCATATAAAACAATTAAAACATTTTGTTTGTTATGTACTTATGTCTATGGATGAACAGAACTTTTAACTAAATCTTATGATTAATATGTTATTTTCAACTTTTTAACTTAAGTTTTACTATTTTTTATTTACATTTTATTATGATTAGAGCGCAGATTTGTATGCATTTGTATATTTATTCTGGTTCATGGTATGATACACTAAGTGAGCACAGAATTTTTTTCATGACCATAATGATTTAAACTATAAAACTTTTGGGCTGCATATTTCGACAACTAACTCACTTTTTTCATTTTAAGATCTTATTTTATGATTTTAATTGCATATTTTTTTTTTTTTAGCTATTTTTGAATTAATTAATTTTGCAGCATTGACAAAAGAAACATACTTGGACTAGAAATTCCTAAAAACTTTTTATTTTTAAATCTAAGATTTTAAAATGTAATACAAGATTCTTTATAAGGTTATCTAGCTTTACCAATATAAAAATATCTATAAAAAAAGTCAAATTAAAGTTGTATGAGCTTTTGAATTTAAAATTTACATTTTACAACATTGGATGTTAACTTGATTTCTCATGTAGCTATTTTATTATTTTGTTGTAATTCAAAAACGACTAACCGTAGACACTTGAGATTTATATCATATGATTATTTTATCAATTCCTATACGGCTATACTCTATTGTTGGCTCATTTTATATTTTTTGTTTACCGAAATTATTATGGAATCTTTAATTGTCTCCGGAAAATGTCGACAATTGGCGATTGCCATAGATGATATAAAATATATTATATTATGATTAATCCATAGAACTTATTTACTCAGTACCTATACAGTCAATTGATAAATCATATGGTCTTTTACATAAATCTTTGTGATCTGCAACGTATCTATTCTGGTTTTCTATTTCAGTTGTTGTTCGCATGCCATGCTTAGCTATAGAAACTAGCAAGGCTGGGCATTAACGAGTTAAAAAATTAAAACTAAGTTATAATGTTAAGTTAATTAACTCGTTACTATTTTTTTCAAATTAATTTTTAACTTAATAAGTTACTTTTTTTCAAGATTAACGTGTTAACTTCAAGTTAATTTTATTTCAAAAATATCTAAATTAAGTTAATTTTCTTCTGAAGAATAATGCAAATTTTTTAATGTGTTTTTACTTTGATGTATCATTTTAAATTTCCCCAGTAATTTACTTGAACGTAAAGAAAAACTATCTAATAAACAAAAATATGTGTCTGGAATTTTTTATTTTTGCAAAATTAGCAAATTTTAACTTTACACTAAGTTAAGTTACTTTTTTTTCAAAATTAACTTTTAACTTAACAAGTTAAAGAAAAAACGTTAACTTGCCCAGCCTTGGAAACTATACCAACCATGTTTATAAACATTCTAATACATTCTCCCGCCAGTGCCCCTAGACACAGTGCTGGGGAAGTTATATTTCTTTGGTAATGGAATTACAATATGAATTATAAGTTATGTATTATGTTTATTTCTTTTTACTCATTTACCAGGATTTGAATAAAAAGAGAGGTCAATAAAAAAAAAAAATTGTAAGTGACTGCTGAACAGTAGGTTACATTAATTACAAGTGGGTGACTGTTATGGATTGGCAGTGTTAAATTTGAATTCAATGATATAATATCATTGTCTACGAAAAATGATTCTAAAAGGAGACGATTTGTTAGCCTAGGATATTGTATACTATTTTTTTTTTTTTTTTTTTTCAAAGGCACTAGTATAAACTATGATAGCTTTTAATTTACTTAATTAAAACAAAATAATACACAATCAATTAAGATTAACAATACCTATATTAGATTCTCATATACTATATAATGAAGCCTCGTGTATAAAGGCAATTATCCTTTTGATAGCTGTTTCAGATTTGGTGTTTAAGATGGTTGCATCAAAAAACCGCACACTTTTGATTTTGACCCTAATAAGGTCGATAGCCAAAAACCGCACAGCTTATCGGTCATTGTATAACAAATTACCGTACATTTATAGTGGGTTAAAACCGCACACTATTTTTAGTGAAAATAGTGAAAAGATAAGATTATAAGATATGTATTATTCAATAATCAAGTATAGAATAGTAAATCATATATAGAATTTTTAAGTGACGGAGATAGTATAAAGTTTTTAAAAAACGTCGGCAGTGGGTTTCAGCCAATAAAAATTTGAAAGTTTTAAATTTTTTTTAAATTAATATTTTAAATTTTAGAAATACTTATTCATTTTTAGTTTTACATTTTTTTTTTAATATTTTAAATTATTGAATATATACATTTTTAAGTTGACATTTTTTTTAAATTAATATTTAAAATTTTTAAATATATACATTTTTTTTTGATGAACTATGAGAATAATGAGAACAAATAATTAATTATACATATACATATGCTTTTTTTGTTTATCGACCTTTTTGGGGTCATAATCATAACTGTGCGGTTTTTGGATACGACAATTTTTAAAATTGTGTGGTTTTAACCTATTAAATGTGTGCGGTTTTAACCTACCAAAAGTGTGCGGTTTTGTCCTGTATTTTATCAAAAGTGTGCGGTTTTTGGAGTCAATGTTTAAGATGGAGTAAAGATTGAGAGGAATATTAATGATGATTTTCGTGTAAACTGGGGAAATTTTCTTCATGAAGGGAGGTGTTTGGTTTTAAGATTTCTAAAATAGGAGGCTGGTTATTTACAACATCAGAAAATGAAAAATATATTATTAAATATTAAATATTAATACCGTAGCCGGTTAAGTTGAATCATTATAATATGTTTATTATCATATTTGTATATATATAATAATAATATATTTTAGAAGTAGTATATATTTGCCAATCCTGGGACAACTCGTCCTCGTCCTCGTCGTTTGCTCGTCGTTTGCTCGTCCTATTGTGTTCATCATCAGGTGTTTTTTTATTTACGCACGCGCCTCCACCCGATTCTCGTCGGCAACGTAGCCGATGTTTTTTTATTTACGCACGCGCATTCACTCGTCAATGCGGCAGGTGTTGTTATTCAATTTCTTATCCTTTGTCATATAAATGTAGCCACCCCCATAGCCCTGCCCCCGGGGGGAGGTGTCTTACGGTAGGTGATATAGGAGACCCCTACCAATGTTTAAACACACATGTTAAAAATCTACCCCTACCTATGTATCAGATCTAGAAGGTCTCTTGGCTTCACGTGAGTTGTCGAGCAGTCAGTCTGTGTCCGACCTTATACCATACTTCAGTCATTGGAATACTTGATATTTTTTTCTCGTTCTTTATACATATTTTGGTGTTAAGTTATTTTATAAATTGCTAGTGTTTAGTTATTTTATAACAAGTGCGTTTATTAACATGGCTGGTTCAATCACTGATAACTTAGCTGTATACAAGAAGACCTTCACCTATGTACCGCCAACACCACCAGCCGAACTTATTGAAGCAACCAATTTCACGCTGGACTTTGTGAGTCGCAAGTTTATTCAAATTGGTATTGACCCGGCATATAATTTCAAAGTCGTTTTGCTTATAATAACGCCATCGCGTTATGTCCGAATTACACCGGACTTGTTAAAGCAAATATTGAATTTTATGGGCCATATCCTTTCGTTCATATTGGACCAACCGCAAAGGTACAAGCGAGTTATATTTTTCGAAACCGATATATTTAAACTATCTAGTATGGTGTATGGTGGAGAAAATGTATTAGTGATCGAATCGAAAAATGTAGAAGGATGCAGAGTTCTTCTAAATCGTACAGATCTTCTTCAACTGCAACGTTTAGAATCTTCTATTTTTGAAGCCATCGTACGAAAAGATATAATTACCAGACCATTAATTTTAAAACAAATTGATGAGTTTGGTGCGTACCTAGAAGAGAGATGTTCTAGAGAAAAATCGCCACCGAAAAATATTGAAGAGAGAGAAATGTACATTAAGAACATGCAACTCGATCGGTCTGATAGAGTCGTGCAATCTGTTCCAAATCTTACCGGACAAATTCAGATATATGCTGCTACACAGTTGGCTGAAAATTGGGAAAATCGGAAGACGCAAAAATCACAAGAGGTAATTCAAAAAAATATATTATATTTACAAAAATATTTAATAAAAATATTTTTTATTTTAGTCATGTTATGCTGATCCAAAAATACTGTCACCCAGCTGCCCACCAAAATCCATTATCTCCAGCTTACAGGACGATTCCTGTACAATACGTGACGCATTTGATAAGCCGGAGGATCAAAGTCTAGCTAAGGTAATAAATAAAAAAAAAATTTCAACTAAAAAACAATATTTTTTATATTTAATTAATTTTCCAGCCGCTAGATCATATTGACGGTCCACAATCACCCTCAAGTCCACGGTTGTTCAACATAAGAGACGGGTTCGATTTCTTCAATCGATTTGATTCACCACCCTCAACTTACGTCAATCACCCCACTGCAGCACCATTACGTAGAGTGAAGCGTCGACTACCACAATCACCCACAAGTTCACAGCCGTTCGACGAAAATGACGGTCCGGATTTCTTCAATCCAATTAGTACATCAACACCATGTCAACCAACTTACGCTCAATACCCTTCTGAACGATTACGTAAAGTGAAGCGTCAACTATTTTAATATTTGTACTAAATAATTATGTGTAATAATGACTTATGTAGAGTAAAAAAAATAAAATACATGATATTTAAAAAAAAAAAAAAATTTATTTATTAAAATAATATTAAGGTTTACATTAGAATATATTTACAAAGTTCTTACTTCTCCATTAAATGGATTATAAGTTATAATTTGATCATGTATTATTAAGCAGTATGCTGAAGTATTAGCCGGGAACGCTTCATCGGTTTCAATTTCAATACGTAGGTCGACTGTTGACATCTTTACGTTATCGTTCTGCTTGCTCATATCAACAACAATGATTGGAGAATGATTTTTGAATTCTGATCGGGTCAATAGAGGTGTTACATCGTCATGTCCATAGTAAGATTTTTGGAATTCTGCATATGCACGATATAAAGTAGCCATCTTGTTTTTGGTAAAGTCGCTTTGAAAATCTTCATAGGGAAATACTTCTGCATTTAAATAGACCTTCAAGTTTTTAATTTTACAATGGTCAAAATATGACATTGCTTTACTCAAGCTATTTTTCCTGTCAGTTTGAAATCCTATTATAGCATACCGAGGCTTTTCTAACTTGTTGGATGTTTTTACTTTCCACGAATGTGATGTGTTTTGAGGTAAAAATGGAAATTCACACAATTCCCACGATCTAAACGCACATGTTAGAGGTTTCTGATTATTTATTACTTTCAATAAGCGAATTTTTTCTCTATCACTGACTTTAATTATAGGCATTCTCCACAATATTTTTGTTATATTTATTTTAACGTCTTTTAGTTTAGGAGCTTCTGCGACAATTTCATTATTTTTGAACTGCTTAATGGCGTTTATATCCATTGAGGCTCTATTTAATATAAGTTGTTGGTTGCAGTTTATTAAAATACGTTTATAATCTTCACAAAAACCAAACAGATCTTTAAGATTAATATAGCCACTAAACATACTACCATCAATAAAATCTTTATTAGCATTTATCATATCACTATCCCAAGCAGCACTTTGACGTGATGTAATATTCGTTTTATTATATGAGCAATATCCTTTTATTGTAGTGGATATACCAGGATTAATAAGTTTTTGAATTTGAGTACCGTTTATCTCATATTTCATTTCAGAGAAAAGAAATGATAGCCCGTTGTTTATAAATCTAATCTCGTCGGTTATTTCTGATGGTTTGGTTATGGTTCCCTCTATGTAAATATAACTCTCAGATGGTAAAGTATAAGACTCCGTGTTATGTAAAGCAATACGCACCTCGTCGTTATTAGAAAGAGCGGATGTCGAATAAGGTAAAAAAGAATGATAATCAATTTGAGTTAATCTACAGTCGTCGACGTATCCAGCCGTGACATCTAAGTACATATCGTCCATATTAAATAGCGTTCAGCGAGCGTAGAAAAGCCAAATTTTCAGTTGTTAGACTATGCGCAACTTTTTCTCGTTTTGAATATTTTTTTTTTTTCTTTGAAGTTGTTGCCTTGTTAGTGTTTTTAATATGACTAACTGGTTTTACATATGCAGCTCTATTTATATTATAAAATTGTAGTCCCATTTCTTTATCACGAGTCTTGAATTAATAAACGTATTGATACTGGCTCACCTCGTAGATCGACCAATTCGTTGTTTTGATTTTTTAAAATTAAACTGGCGTGCGTTATAGTTGTTGAATTGAGAGGGTAAAATACTAATTGTGACGGTATTTCTATTATTTTATAACCTGGTGGTACATTAGGATAAAACTCGTGTATTGTATGACACTGCTTACCGTTGTTGAATGATCCCTTAACTAGATTTGATTCGATATATATACAGTTTGTTTGGGTAATATTGACCAACGTTTCTGATTCATGATTAACATTCGCAGCATATTTACGATTTTTGAATCCCAACAACTTACCTATATGATTAGGCATTGTGAAATCCACAGTTTCGCTACAAAACATTATACACTTCAGGGTATTATTATCAGCCTTCAACTCAAATATTGTATCAGTATTACGTAATAGATGTTTTATTCTCGCAACGATTTCCGTCAATTCATAAGAGCCAGTAGGGATTGTGTAGCTATCATTATCATCATTATTATTATATATGAAGCCTATTTTATTACACTTTTCGTTTACATTAGGAATAGAATTATTCGTTTGAAAACCTAACAGACAGATTTTTGCATTTTTACTGACTTCTAACGGTGGAAAAAAGTCACATGCCAATTCGCTCGAGTTACCGGTTAACGTTATAGTGTACATAATAAAAATTCCAAGCAAAGGTGTCCGCAGTTTGTTGTATTATATTTCTGATGCCTCTCGTAATTATATTCGATATTACAACCTCGGAAGTATTTCTGTAATTCTAGTGGTGGTGTTAAATTTCCGAAACTATCATAATATTTAACTTGTTTTCCGATTTTCTTATACGCTACCCAATGAGTACCTGTTCCGATTTCGTTGTCTAAATTAATTACAGCTGACTCTCGGTTCTTTGGTCTTAATGGCAACTTGTCTCTAGGAAATACCCCTATGAAATGAGGTATTTTTAAAATGTCAGCGTATTTTATAATCTCATAATCGTATAACGCTCTATCGGGTAACGTGGAAATTAGTTTTTTGCAGTTTTTCTAGATTTCTTAACTGATCCACCTTTGTACGGTGCCAGGTGTAAACCTTTACCTTGTACAATTTTATAAGAATTCTCTTTGTGAGGTGTTAGATATAAACCTTTACCTAAATGAATAGGTTTGTCTTTACCAGAATTTAATTCGTTCACGACTTTCACTATATTACCAACACCGCCAGTAAGCGCACCTAAAGCTGATAAACCAGCAAAAATAGGTATTAAAGGTAAAACACCACCCTTTTTAGGTATTGGTATAATTCTGGGGGTGTTAGTATTCTTATTTTTCTTATTTTTAGATTTTTTCGCAGCTGACAGACATGTTCTTGCTAATTTAGTTATACTATTTTTGTCGATTTTATTTTTTATTGCCTTTTTCGCTGCCAAGACCATTTTTTTGAATCCGTAACCAGCTCCAATCTTACGCTTAGCCTTCATAGCTGTAGTCACCAACCAAGCTGCAGCTTTTTCCTTAATACCTGTGTTTTTAGATTTAAACACTTCCCAAGCCTGATTTTCTAATATCTCGTCAGCTCTATGTCTATCAGTTAGCGAATTACTTTCGTCGTAAGCAATATCGTGAGTTCTAGCCAACTCGTCAAGACTGTTTATACCCCGATCTCCACGTGCTAATCTTTCTTTTAATTTAGTTCCAGGGCCTGCAAATCTGAAAACATGTAAACATTTAGAAAATTATTACTAATCATATAATATATTTACTTACCTATAACCAGGTAAATGTAATTCCACGGGTAAATTATTTATAACAGAGTTAATAAGACCAGAGCCCTTATTGTTGTTCCGCTTACGAACGTGAGACATCGTGTGACGCTTTAAATGACAATACATCTGTATATATAGGGAAAAAAATGCGCTTTGTCGAGCAGGAGAAAAAACTTCGAATTTATAACATTGATACCCCTGACACAATTCAGTATAGACATGGTGAGTTGTTTCCGAACACGATACGAGCACTAGTACTCGGAAGCTCCGGTTGTGGGAAAACAAATCTAATATATTTCTTGCTCGTCGATGAAAACGGGTTACGATTTCAAAACGTTTACATATACTCTAAAACATTAGAACAACCAAAATATAAATTATTAAAACGTATTATTGACGGTATTGACGGTATTAACATTTTTACTTTTTTCGATAATGATAAAGTCATTTTACCTGAGAAAGTTTTACCAAATTCTATTTTTATCATGGATGATGTAATCGGAGAACATCAAAATGTGATAAGGGAATATTTTTCTCGAGGCCGTCATAATAAAATAGATATATTTTATCTGGCCCAGAGTTATTCAAAGGTACCTAAGCAGCTGATACGTGATAATTCTAATTTAATAGTATTATTCAAGCAAGATGAAACCAATTTAAAGCATGTATACAACGAACACTGTTCAGGTGATATGACATATATACAATTTAAACATTTTTGTGTAACGTGCTGGAACCGTGAGAGGTTTGCATTTATCGTTATCTGCAAAGATAGTGACCGCGATAATGGACGTTATAGATTTGGATTTGATACTTATGTCATTATATAAGACGTCGCATAAAATTAATATTATCATTTCAATTGCAGTCATGTCCGAGGCAAGTAATATATTAGATGAGATAGTTAAAGCTAAGGAATGTATTAAACGTAAATATATAGCATTAAAAACTGGTACAGATAATGTACAGCAGTTAATGACACAAACATTCAATCCTATTATCGAACCTTTAACTAAAATATCAAATAAACATGGATTAACACCGAACAACGAAAACAATATCGAAAAGTCGAAACACTCGTTTGAGGATGACTATCAACAAGAAATCGAAAATTGGTTTCAATCTACAGACTTAGATAAAAGCTATGGTCCAAAGAAACTACCAAACGGATTACACGTCTTAGGTGACAAAGAAGTAAAATTTATCGACAACTCTATACTCATTGATGATACTGTTTATCCAGCTACCTCTGGTCTTCTTCAGTTATTATTTTTGAAAAATCCACTTATTTATTCATATGACGATTTACAGGCATATAAAGCTATATTAATTCAAACATCAGCGTATTTAAGTAAAAGCAAAAAAATTAAAAAAAACAAGAATTGCTCTAAATACTTAAAAGTTGTTAGTAAATTATTCCCAACCGGTAGTGGGTTATCCATTAAATTACAAAAACATAGTCTAGTATACTGGAACGATCCCAATGAACTAGTTGCTCGATTGCGTCTACTTCTAGCGTCAAAAGCAGCTGGAAATACAGGAGTTTCAAACGAAATACTTTCGATTTTCGAAGAATTGCTTGAAGCTGGTTTAATAAAACGAATTCCAAATGTCTAAACGCGATATAGCAATCGAACTTCACAAGCCAGCAAGGAAAAATT